TCTATGTAATTTGTCTTGCGTTTCAGTTATAGTGCTACCATGTGCATTTGTTAATATCCCCATTGGTTTGTTACGATTTCCTGAAATCATTTCTTTAACCTTCTTATGGGTGTTGAAAGTGTCATACCTTGCCTCACATTCCTCAATTTCTTGACATTTAATGGACATTCATGTTTCCTTAGCTTGTTTTATTTTCTGTTTTATTTGTTTATTAATTTCTTGATATTTAATTTTATCTTTGTTTTTATGTATTCATCTTTCGTCCATCTTTTCGAGAATTTCTTGTGTCATCCATTCTTGTTTGGTAGCTTTTGTAAATATTAATGTTTCCCGTCCCACAGTCTATATTGTGTTCTTTATATTCTTCCATTTTGTTTTTATATCTGTAGTGTTCTTATTTTGTTGTTTTATTTCTTAGATACACTGATTTATTTTATTTCGAGTTTCTTGGTATGTATTTGGTTCTCTTAATGTATATTTGTGGTCTAGATCTTTTCATTAATGGTTTTCTCAATCTTACATTTATATTTGCTACTACTGGGTTGTGCTCTAAGTTTACATCTACTCCAGGGTAAGTCTTAACTACTGTAATAGAATTCTTGTACCTGTTCCTTATCAAGATGTAATCTATCTTCCACGTATAGAGCCGGCGATTTGGTAATTTAAACATTGTATTCATAAATACCAGTTCTTCTGTTTGGCACATCTGAATTAGTCTTTCACCACGCCCATTTTGCTCTCCCAATCCATACATTCCAACACAACTCTCCACACTTCCTCTGCTCACTTTGGCATTGAAGTCACCCATTAGTATCAGAACTTCACGTTTTTTTGTTGTTTTCATTATTTTTTCCAATTGTTCGTAGAAGTCTTCTATTTCCTGTTACTCCTTGTCAGCTGTTGGTGCATATATTTGAATAACATTCATTTTCCTCATATTAGTGTTAATTTGTAGCATTATAATGCGATTCGAAAGCGGGGTGAAACAAAGTACCGATTTATCTAAATATTCGAATAATATTATTTAATCAAAAATCGTACAAAACTGTAAGAATTGTGCAACTTCGATATAAAATGTAATTTTACCTGAATTCGACATAATCAACAATTATAATATTAACGATAATAAAATTAACGAATATTTAATAACAAATACTTGTACATAGATATTTAAATTATTTGAGGATATGCCAATATCATCCAAGTAAAAATATGGACTTTGCCAATTTTATCTTACTTATGCCTACCTATGACTGTTACATTCACACTTATATGTTTTTTGAAAATACATCGAAAATACAGGAATGTATAAAGTCAATGTGTCAATTCGTTCATTTTAAATAACAAACTTTCGTAAATATATCCTTCTTCAAAAAAGACTAAATTGTCATATATCCATTCATTATAATTTGTGTGATTTCCCCATCTTCTCAATAAAATTATTATTAATTTTGTTATGTTCACAACGTTTGCAACGATATCAGGAGTATCTGGATTAGTTAAAGAAATGAGAGAAGATAAGATTGTGAAAAACAGACACTAGCTAATAGACATTATAGACGGAGAACAATAACAATCTTCTACGACGAATGGGAGAGAAGGGGATATAGTACTGCTGACCCGTTTTTACTTTACCAACTATAACATCTTCATAAAACACAATCCCTAGAGCTTATCACTAGAGCACGGGGTACAGTTAAAAGTGTGTGTATGGCGAAAAATGTGGAATGCGCAACCAAGCTTCTCAAAATCAGAATCGTCTTGATTTTTAGCGTGTGCAATTATCATCGCGCGGGGAAGAATGAGAGTGTATGGGCAACAAGTCTCTGCATGTTTCTGGCAGATTAAAAATAAAGCATACAGTGATCGATTAGGAAAGAATATAGCTTGCAAATTAAGAAGACCTACCAACACAAGGATTTTTGCGGAAAAGTTGTTTAATGATATACTTTACAATGCAGAATTAGGAAGGCTTAATAAAAATTCTATTCTTTCGGTAAATATGCCATTTGTGTCTGCATTACCTCAATGTGAAAGTCAATAACAAGTCAATATTCAGATATCGAGTTCAATGGGTCAACAATCCAATTCCGTTGCTACATATTATAAGAATTTTTGTAATAATACTGATTTTTGCAATTTGTAAAAGATATTTTTTTTGAAATATTAATATTTTTAGTATGATCTGTACCGATTCTAGTTTCAGTTTTTGTGTTTTCAGTTCGTTGTCTTTATTGAAAATCTCAATAAAAAGGAATTTTATATAGGTAAGATTATTTTTTTTAATGAAAAAAAAATGTACATTGCAAATCAACGTACCTTCATTACTTCTTTTTGTAATACACGACATATTGCTTCACATGTTTGAGGAATAATTCGACCTAATGCCTGAGCTGAAATTATTGTTGAAAATTTTAAGTCATCATAGATCCTTCCCGTTGCCAAAAATCTTAATGTAGCAGTTAGCCTTTTATATGCCGTTATAGCCTGCCGCATTCGCGTGTCCTGTTTTTGTATCAAAAGAGTTACTAAAGATAATAGTTCAAAATACGTATCTTGATCCATTCTTAAGTAGTTATGCCAATCTGATGAATCCAGTCGCAATTCGTCCAGTAAACTGACATGAGAGTACGTAGCTCGTTTCTGTAACCAAGAGTTTGTCCATTGCTACCTTGGTTTTCTTTTATACGACACCTTTCTTTAATACAAACACACGCCACTGCCATTAATAAAATATCGTTTTTTGACGTCATGTTCACTTTAACCGTACTTCTAAACTGAAAGCAAAAGTACTGGTGTATGCCGGCGTGGAGCGTACGGGTTTACCTTACAGCAAACATGCAGAGACTTAATTGCGCATTCTTCCTTCTTGATGAGTGGGCGCCTTAAGAGATTCGAATACGTTGGTAACTATGAATCCCTTGTTAAACACAGGTTTGTTTTGTATTTAATTTTGTTAACACAAATTCTTTATATTTTCGTTGCAGTTTTTTTTATCATGTACTCCTCTAAATTGATAACGTAAAATTGGGTCACGTGCATAAGGAAATCACTCATATAGTGAATTCTCTTTACTTCGTCCACTAATTTGATAGGTTTATGTGTTTATTTATATTATATAAACATATATTTCATAGCCACTGTCGCACCACCAAAAAACTACCAGTTTTAAAAAGTGTTCTATATCTAGAAGTTTACGAAGGTTTTGTATTTGGTTTTATTTATTTTACAGATAATTCCTCCTCTATCGTTTCTCCTTCGTAAAGATGCAGTGGCGTCATGATTAGTTTGACTATTTGACTCTCTCCTGCGAGAGAGGATTTTTATTTGGTCCGACCATTGTATTAAAGATCTTCCTTTGGATCTTTTACCCGCTACGTTACCTTCAACTATCATTCGCTTCTTCAACAAAGCATAATCTCTGTTTCTATGCTAAACTCTCGAGATTTTTCGACAATTTGACGAATATTAAGAATATGTTCTCTTGTTCCTCTACCTGGGACGAATTCGCATTGATCTTGGGGAATTTGTGGTAAGAGAATTGATTTTAGTCTTTCATTGATGATGGTTATAGAAGTACTTTGCTCGAGTGTGATAACAGTGCTACTGAACGGTAATTACTTTTGGTTAGTGAGTTTTAACCACGTTCTTTGGTTTATGATTTGTTTTGAAAACGTTTCGGTAGTTTTGAACCAAACTCACTATGGCAGCAGAATTGGAAAGTTAAGAAAACCAGAAGAGTATTAAGGGCTGTTTTTATACATACCACCAACGAGTTAGGTCTTATGAAGGCATAATCATTGGACTATAAATGAATAGAAGTGTATTGGGAACTGTTAAACAGTAAGTCTGAGGAGTTGATTGCCAAATTGCTGAATTATCACTAGAATGGTCTATTGAGACGGAGCTAGAAGCAGAGATATAAAGTTGTGTTGATGTTGCAAGTTTAAACTGATAGATATTGTTTATACCGTATGTTAAGTTTTAAATTAGATATACACTATTAATTGAGAATTATCATTAATTAATTAAGATGAATTAAGAAATCGAATAAGAGAAGTCTATAATTCTATTACAGCAGAAACTCTTACATCTGCCCACAAGTTTTTATGACAGATTGGGATACTGTTTAGCCATAGAAAGTCAAATATGTGAATAATTTCTGTAGGGCATAAAAAATAATTTCTTATTTTATTAGGAATAATTTTTTATTTTAAATTTCAACTCAAGAGTTTATTTTTTGTTTTATCTTTTTAACGAAATGCGCATTTATTTTGAATTCAACCAAAAAAATTGTCCACCTTATTAAAAACCGATACAAATGCACCGCCTTATAATGGTTAGCGTATTTCTATCGAGTTTATGTTATAAGAAATAAACCGGATGTACGTAAGCAAAACAAAAATCGACGGACGAAGTTGCATATCCCTTGCGTTGTTATGTGTTACTAGATGGCTTTCTCGTTTTCTGTCTAGGAGTCTAGGTGCTGGAATCTAATCCAAAACTTAACGCACTGTATATTCAAGTAACTATAATTCTGAGTAAAATAAATAATACTGAATCTAAACTTCGTAGTTGACTTGTAAGTGAATTAAATTTAAAAATAGTACTCTGGGGGTTTATTATCTACGCAAACCTCTTAAAATGGATAGTTTTTTGGTGGTGCGACAGCCACCTTCGTATGTTCTACCACAAATTTTTTGGTTTCCATACATTTTCGTTTCTTTTTTTCTAGATTTATTTACATTTTCAACCTTCATTATGGACAAACTAAATAAGTAGTCCAAATAAACCACTCGCATTTATCGATTTTTCAGCGTTCTTGCAGATAAATATTGAAAAGCGTTTGAAAAGTTGTTATCTTCTAAGTTATGTCGACAAATTTGATTTCGAGATTCGAAAAGTTATTATAAAAAGGGGTTTGTTAACATCAAATGTGGCATTATTTTAAAAAAAGTTAAATATTTCAAATGCCACATGTAAATAGCTTCCGTACAAATATGTAGATAAAGTTTAATATTTTAATTAATAATCACATGAATATTAAATATATTTTTACATTAAACCCACACGCCATAAGATCTTTATTAAACTCGTGTTTTTCTTCATACCGGTACCTTAAAGTACAAAGAAAATTCTAAATGATATGTGCAACAGCTATGACTGGACCAGAATGTGCCAGCGCGATATTTGTTCTTGTTGAAATTCTTTCATATCCATCCAATGGGCCAGCTCCTCCGCTCCGCTAGAATTCAAGCCCAAGCTGAACCATCCCAACATTTCTTTTTTCTTGGTTACACCTTTTCTGTTGTAAACAGATACCATTAGAGTTACATCTGCGAGCTGGAAAAGCGCCACCTGTCGAGAAAAAATAAAATAATAGGTTCGAAGACAATACGAAACAACTTCCTCAAATATAGTACCTTCATTATCCTAACTGTCTCTTAAAAATGATATTTAGGTAATAAAAATAATGCCCCTTTATAAATCTTCTATTGTTGATAATTTATAAGTTATCAGGACTGACTTAAATCCTAATTGTTACTTGATGGAAATTCATTTTATCTAATAAAACACTTAAAACTTGTGTTTTCAACACTTCCATAAAATGTATTTTAAATTATTGTCACTACAGCTGTTTCGGCCAGAGAAATCGAATATATCACCTATTTAAAAGAAGTCAGTACCGGGCTTTTGACTATAGTGTTTTCAAGATTACTTTTGAAACGTAGAGTTGCAACACAAAGCATCTGTTTTTAAACATGTGTTTGCAAAATAAAGTGTTTCCGAAATATGTACAACTCAAAACGTTTAGGTACCAAAATTATACATAAGTCAAGGCACTATATTTGTGAATGTACCATACATTGATTTACCTGGAATATAAAGGTCTCTTTAAATAATGGATTTGGCTGTCCCCTTCTAACCGACGTTTTGCTTTGTGCTAATTCTTGGCCTGTACTACTGACTAAATACAGTTTAACATAAGTATCTGGAGGTCGGTTGATAGCTAGGTTTCTTAGAAGATAACTAAAAAAAATTTCAAAATAAAATGCGATTTTGAAAATCATTATGGTAAACCCGGGGAAGTGTGATTGTGGGGCAAGTGTGACTATACTATATAAAATTTTCTACAATTTAGGGATGCCAACGGCATCTTGTGAGTAGAAACTTAAGTTCTTGAAACAGCGATCTACACATACGCAGTTTGTAGAAAACAAGTAATTTGATATTTGACCGTCGGCGTATGTTAAAATACGAATTAACTTGTTGATGTTAGTGTGAAGACTTTGTTTACAAATTTTGTGAGAAGCGAGTATTAGGTGGTAAGTAAATATTTTATGATATGCAGGATTGTTTAACAACTATGTTACGTTGTATGTATTAAAAAAAATTTAATTTTTAACCGAATGATGACTTAGGTCACACTTACCTCCTTTATATTGCCTACTGGGGTAAATGTGACCACGTGTATCGGGGCAACTGTGAACTTGTAAAGCTACATTTTAATTTTTAATTCTAGATTGAACATGGTGAGAAACTATAACAGAAGTCGGATCAAGCAACCAAATACACCCAAGATGATTTAAATCACGCAGTGTCAGAGATAAAAAGAGGGGTTTGTTCGATATACCGGGCACATAAATTGTATAATATTCCTAAAACAACATTATTCTACCATGTGATTGGTGCTCGAGGAGTTAAAAGCAAATCGCAAGGGAGGGCTCCAGCTATTCCAGTCCAAGATGAGACTAGTTTGGCATAAGGACTAAAAACTATGGAGCAGTGGGGATTTGGAATATCCAGATTGGAACTACTAGAGATTGTTCGCAAATTTATTACCAAAAAGTACATAAAAACTCCATTTAAGAATAAACACTCTTGGGAATGAGTAGATCGGGAGTTTTAAAAGACGTCACAAACTTAGCATAAAAAACCCCAAGCCGTGAAGTACTCAAGAAAAAAATGACACATCCTTTCATCATCCAAGAATATTTTGATTTTCTCAAAAAAATTTTAGTTGAGCTAAAATTAGAGGATAAGCCGCAGCTCATCTGGAATATGGACGAAACATCCATTTTCACGATCCCAAAAAACCAAAGTCGTGGGAACTAAAGGTAATCCAAGTTCCAGAACTACTTCCGGTCCAGAAAGAAAAAACACTACGGTTCTTTCAGCAGTGTCTGCATCAGGGACGAAGGCACCACCACTAATCGTATTCAAGGAAAAAAATTATTTGGGAATCCTGGATACCAGATAACAAGAACTTATTTCCGGGAACTGCTTACGCAGCCAGTCCCAATGGATGGATGGAGAGTTACGTATTTTTTAATTATTAAAAAAAAAAAACGTTTATTCACGCATTAGGAGAAAATAGGCCGGTACTGTTGTTATATGACGGTCATAGTACCCATATTAGTATTGAATAGTTGAATTAGCACGACAGAATGATATTACAATCATCAAACTTCCTTCTCATACCAGCCACCTTCTGCAGCCTTTGAATTTAGACGTATTTAAGTCTCTAAAAGACTCTTGGGACCAATAACTCGTAACCTGATAGAGATATAATACTGATACATAATCTAAAAAGAGTTTTCTCTGATGATAGGCACTACATGGAAAAACGTAAGCGTAGAAATGATTAAAATCGGGTTTAGAAAAGCTGGTATATATCCATTTAACCATCACATCATACCGTAGGAAAAATACCACCCTGAAAGTCTAAAACTATGGAAGGAACAAAAGAGTTTAGAAGACCAAACAATAGTTGTAGCTGAAACCGCAAATACTAATATGGATGCTATTACCGCCGGCAATATTGATCAGTAGGTAAATAAAGACCAGATTGTGGAAAACCATACAACCAATATTTCGGATGCAACTCCAAGTAGTAGTGAAATCGTAGGCTTCCACGGCCAGAGTCAGAATTATAGTTTATTCGTCTTCCGGGTTTGGACCGTGTCATTTGTGAGTGACCCAAAAGTGGGTTCATCTCGACGTTTCGCTACAATTGTATGTAGCTTCTTCAGGAGAACAAAGAAAATGAAAAAAGAAAACAAAAGAACAGGAAGATGGGTAGTTAGCAACGGTAACTCAGTTACTCAACGCAACCAGAGGCGAATACTAACTACCAAGATGGGCATTTGGTCACAGTAACTCAACTACTCAACGCAGCCAGAGGTGAAAACCAAATGCCAGGACAGGGATTCACGTCCAACAGCTCAGAACACTAACGCGTCGAGAGGCGGGGAGGATTCACTCCCTGATCCCCTGATCCCCTGATCCCCAGATGAACCCACTTTTGGGTCACTCACAAATGACACGGTCCAAACCCGGAAGACGAATAAACTATAATCCAAGTAGTAGTTCTTAAAACATTGTTTTAAGAGCTAGGAACTAAGTTTTGAGGAGGTGACATTAAACACTGTTCAACAGACAAATAAGTAAAGTCCTTCGGAATCAAAAAGAAAAAAAGTAGCTGCTGGGGCAGAAGTCGTTACTTCCGAAGAAGTTCTGAATAAACTTACAGAAGAGAATAGATTGGAGAACATAAAAGAAATAGAAAACAAAACAAATGAAGAAGAACACAGAAAGAAGCAAATATTCAAAAACCGAAGAGAATTAAGAAACGAGAAGAAACTTTTAGTAGCTCAGAATCAGAAGAAGATTTGGTAGAATATGTTGACTCTGAAGATGATTTAGATCCTAAAATATTTGAAAAAAAAACGAGCAAATAATTGAGAAAGAAATGCCAACAGTTGGAGAGTTGAGAAAGATCCAAATCGCGCTGGGTATTTGGGTTGTTGTAGAATACACATATAAAAAACATATTAAACATTTTATTGGAAGAATTGATAACAAGATTAAAAGTTTGCTTTTTAAGATATAAAAAGAGTAATAACACCTTTTTTGGCCTGATAGAAGACACGGATATGATAGTTGAAGACGATATCGTAAAAACTTTACCAGAACCCGTTAAAGACAGAAGGGATCATTTTATTTTTGACGTAAATTTTTTCGGGTTGAACCTTTAAATCTTAAAAAGTTTGTAACTTGCTTAAAAATAAATAAATTAAAATTTTTCAAACACTAAAAAATTAGTTTTTTTCTTGCACTTTTAAATTATTTACATTGCTCCAAAAATAACACACGCTGCTATAAGCTAAAGTCCATTGTCACACTTACCCCAAATTGACGGTAAAGTGTGAACCATGGATACTTAAAAAAATTTAACATAGTTTCCACATCTGATGTTACGAACGAGCTTAAATTTAAGTATATGTAGTAAAGTCCGTAAACATTCTAGGAACAAAATATCATGACTTAAAACATCTCCTAAATCATGCAAAATATGTCATAAAAATAGTCTAACTGAAAACTAGTTCACACTTCGACGGGTTCACCGTACGTTAGGATATTGTAACGTAAGCGGTTTGACTAAGATCATAGAACGATTTTAGTATATATTATTATAAAGTCTATATACAACGAGAAGAGATGGCGCACCAGAAAAACAAGGCGTTGCCAAATTTATCAGGACCAGATTTAACATTAACTAATAAGACTTTGAGGGTATACAAGGCAACTATCGAACACGGTGATTAATTTGATCTTGCCCAAGCGCTTTCGATCAATAGATCATCTTCAGGGGCATTTCGTCAATTGTGGACTATCCGACATACTAGAATGTCATAAAAGTAAAAACTGGACATAACAATACAAAATACACTACACTAAGACAAACAAACACTTTAAAATTTATATGGCGAAGCTACATATTGTGAAGAAGCCGGAGACAGAATGCTTCTTCACAATATGTAGCTTCGCCATATAAATTTTAAAGTGTTTGTTTGTCTTAGTGTAGTGTATTTTGTATTGTTATGTCCAGTTTTTACTTTTATGACATTCTAGTATGTCGGATAGTCCACAATTGACGAAATGCCCCTGAAGATGATCTATTGATCGAAAGCGCTTGGGCAAGATCAAATTAATCACCGTGTTCGATAGTTGCCTTGTATACCCTCAAAGTTTAATTATTCGAACATTCAACCTTATATTGATTAACTAATAAGACCGCACATTCGGCAGACAACTGAGAATTATGACTGAGAAAAGACTGATTACATGTATTGGAAGTGAAACAGGTTTTGTAGAAGCTGGCCTATGGATGTTATAATAAAAAAAGTGGCGACTATCACGAGAAAATTAACTTCGACCGCTTTGAAAAGTAGTTTGCAAATATTTTGCCCCTGCATAATTACACCTGTGTAATAGTTCTCGATAGTGCTCCTTAGCATTCGTCAAAAAATAAGAAAGTACCTGCTACAGCATGGACTCAAAATATCGACTTCAATGAGGACATGCTTAAGGTTAAACTTTTACAATTAGTAGTACCGTGTAAAGCTGAATATAACAAATATGTTATTGATGAAATGGTAAAAGCACAAAATGAAACTTTTTTGCGTTTGCAACTCTACACTGCGATCTCAATCATATTGAGTTGCTTTGGCCTGATGCTAAAATTTTGTTGCTGCCAACAAGACTTTCAATTTTGCAGATGTCAAAATCTTATTAAATGATGCTTTTAACAACATAACCACGGAGAACTGGAAAAACTGTGTGAAGCGTACAGTAGAAAAAGTTCTGGAAACTTGATAATATTGTTGAGGTCGTGGTTGAACGGTTGATTAAAGAAGTTGATGGTAATAATGATAGTGGCAGTTCCAGTTTTTCGTAATTGCTATTCAACACTAAGGGAAAAGGAACAAAACTTGGTAGCCACGTCCAAGTTAGCTATAAAAAAAGTCAAATGATTTTTTGGCATATAAGCCTCGTTTGTTTGAAAAGAGAAAAAATTTTGCCGGAAATATTTCCGACTGGTATGACAGTTTGTTGCCTAGCAATTTTCGCGAATTAAATTTAGACAGTTGAGTCACGAGACGTCAGTCGAGTGATTTTGTCAAAATTTCATATTACGCGTATATTTAGTTGTTTATGCTGGCGCTATCACTTCTCGTTAGATATAGTATTTAACATTTAGGGTATTTATCGAAAACTACAACTTACCTGAAATGCGAACCCTTAATAACTTCTACATTTAATCTGCCAGTGGTAGCATTGTAGCACAAACCTAGTAAGAGTTCCGGAACACCACCATGCTGCATAGAATGCGCAGATCCAGTACTGTCCGATCTTGCTAAGCTTAGCAAATCTGCTGCGCATCCACCTAACTATAAAATAAGCAAGATAGTGAGGTAAACGTTATTTGATAAAACAAAACATTGAAAACTACCATTTAGTAAATCATTATAATGTTTTTTGCATTTTTTTGTTTAACTGTTTCTAAATATTGTCGTTGAAATGGCGCACCCTAACCATCTTATTTGTGCTCCTTTCTCTCTTATTATCTTGTTATATATCTATTGAAATATTTAGCTCATTTGTTAAATTAATGTTCAAATTATACGACTAAGAAAGTTAATTGATAACGATTTGTGACTTTAAAATTTAAAATTTTCTTTAAACAAAAATTTCTTAAGAGTAGTTTTCAGTGTTAATTTGTTAGTGAAGAATGAAGATTGTATTTTTACCATTGTAGTATTCGCTTTTGGTTCCAGATTTAACCAAAAGTTGTTTTCTAGTTCTAAATTGATATTGGCAAAACTAACAATGGCCTCTCCAATTAGCCTTTCTCTTCTCATTCGTTCACAGCCATATAATCGAAGACGCAAGCCCATAGAATTGACGTCCTCTAAAAAAATACTGGTCGTTATAAAAGATGTGTGAAACTTAGGGAAAGTGTAAATAAAACACAAGGCATAATGCTGTCAAAATAACGAAATATTGTTACATCACAAATTGTTGTCTTTGGATCCAAAAGTTTAAGGATATGTTTGTTATACCAAACGAATAAATTAAAAGCTTAAGTACAAATAAAAATTAAACTTAATTACGTTTTTAAAATATTGGTGGAATCGCTGGGATATATTTGGATACCTGGTAAATGTAAAACTATTTAGATGGTTTAACATAATCAAGAACAAAATATCCAGATTTTTTCAAGATTTTTTCAAGAAAAAATATAGAATTTTTTTAATTCTAAGAGTAGGTACATACTGATTCAATATAAAAATTTCTAGCATATTGTTAGCAGTTTTGTCATTGACTTTACTTTATATCTACCAAAACAATACAATAAAAGTAAAAGTAGAAGAAGAACTAACTGATCCTATTGAAGCTGGCAATGGGATAAGACAGGGTGATTCCCGGAGTCCTCTATTGTTAAATCTGATTATGGATGAAATAATAAAAAAATTATGTCATTATCGGTCTGTCACATATCTGTCAGTCTGGAAGGTTTATTCCCAGCAATCTTCTCTGATATTATTTTCCTGTATAAGTATTCCGTCGATTCCGTATTTAGCCCTTCGACTTTGATTTTTGTTTGTGTTGGCGCCGCTCTCTTAGGTGGGAAGTATTTCAGGATTCTTCTTATTTTACTTAATACTAAGCTATGGTCGCTACCTACATCTGCTGAGTTGAGGCATCTTACGTCGATTATTTTTGATGGATGTATATCTCTGTTGGTTATAACATAATCTATCATAGATCTTTGTCCACGGGTATTATTAAATGTATATTTGTGTTGGTCTTTGTGGTCAAAAAATGTATTGTTTATTCTTAGTTTGTTATTCGTGCAGAAGTTGATCATCAGTTCTCTATTTTCGTTTTTAACATTCTTGTTATGTTTTTGTTTAATGCCGGATATTACTTAATTGTCTATTTGTACGTTAAAATCCCCCATTATCATCTTTTCTATGACTTGATCTACTACTTGTTCAGGTCTTCCTTCTTCATTCTTATCTTTGCTGTTACTATTCTTTCTGATATGCATTGACACTCTTTGATGTGATTTTGGTGCCTTTGATGTATTAGTAAGAGTAAGGCTACACTTTCTTTGGCCCTGTTTTCTTTTGCTACTCCACTGTAGATTAGTATGTATTCACCTAATTTTGATTGACCTTTTCCTTTCTTTTTTGTTTCCGGTAGAGCACAAATGTCTATTTCTTTCTCTCTCAGCACTTGGGTTATTTCTTGATCCCTTGAATCAACTTATGTAGTACATATTATATGATCTAAGATGCGGTGTATAAGAGAGAGAGGATTCTCGATGGTGGGCGGGGCGGAGTGGCAAAGCAAGTGCCATATATACACAGAATAAGTAAAAAAAATCACGTTAAAATCAAAATCTAGCATTTCGTAACAGAAAACTTCATTTCTCTAGTAAATTTTTACCTAGCAACGTTACTGTAAAGGAAACATTTATTATTTACACTATATAAGTAACTGTTTATAATCCAATACACTTTTTTAAACTTACTACTACGCAGACTTAGGACTTACTACACAGAAAATCTACGATAAAATTATAATGAATAACAAAATAAATTTAATTTACCTGGATTGACTCGATGCAAAACAAAATTTTCCATATATTGAGGATTATCTCCTTGCCGGATTTTAGTTTTGTGTTTTTGTTTTTTGCTAGGGAGTAGAATCAATCTCACCTACAATTAAAACTTAGTATTAGGAGTGCATTATAAAAACTATTATGATACATCTCGAGTTAAAGACATATTTTATCTCTAGGTACGAGTATACTGCTGGACAGACAAACCTTGTAGGAATCTTGATTTTTAGTAAAGTCAGTAAAAACATCGTTTATGATACTAGAGAGTGTGATCATAGATTAGGAGTACTTTTTGTATCTCACAGGTATTAATTACGTAAAATACATATTAAGAACTTTCACGTTTCAAAACGAATAAAAAATTCACGAAATATAAAAAAGCTACCTACCTGCGTGTTTGTGAGTTGACCACGATCCCTGCTTGGAAAATCTCTCGCTTGAAGAACGTGAACCGTCATTTTTCGCATGGGTGCATCATAGAGAAGAGCTATTTCTAAATGGCCACACTTACTTGGCACTACTTGACAGTCAGGCTCTGATCCAGATCCTTCGCCATAAGACATAACTTCACCTCGGTCTTCTACGTCGGGAGCCATCACCACGATACACTGTAGACATAGTATAAAAGTATATAATCAAGAATTATCTTTATTTTGTGCACTTCTTATAAAAAATGATTCAATGTTGTAGCATTTGCAAATTCATTGATTCCTTGGTATATATTGAAATACCCTCATACATGAATTAAAATAATGAAGAATGTATTCCATGTTTTTCTGTTCCTATCGCAAAAGTTAAAATACTCGAAATATATTTCAATTCCTTCTTAGGTTGGCTCGAGTTAATATAAACCATTTTAGAGTTGTTTATTATTTAACAGATGTGTACTTCCTCAGCATTATTTTGCGCTTCATATTCTGCTTTTTAAATAAATATTTCCGTCAAGTGTTTTGTTATTTTAAGTTATGCGAAAGAATTTTAAAGATAGTTTCACCATTCTCGTTAGGATCGCTGCCAGAGGCAAGTCGATTTTAGCTTGGATCAAAATTTATTCGTTGGATTTGTAAAGTTTTCTGTTTTTACCCCTTTTCATGGAAATGTATAGCAGTGTAAAGTAAATTGTGAAGTATGTGTAGTTACAGAGGAGGTTAAAAAAGTATTTAAGAGATTTGTGTCGCCTGCAGCAATTCTGATGTTCCAGTTTCCTGTTTTTTTAAGAAGTCCAGTCTGAAGTCTGTATCTAGTGCCGCCCACTTCAGTCCTCCATGTCCGAAGCAGCCGTTTCGAGATATTTTTTCACAGTTTAGAGTTGCAGTTTATACGTAGCAGAGAAGGTAATACCAGAACTTTTTTAGTGTATTTAAGTGAAAATCCATGTAACTGTTTGTGTTTAATTTTAAAGTAAAGACAGACATTTTATTAAATAATATTTTGCTTTCATAAAAATTTAAAAACTATAAAATTTCCTTATCAACTGTCGATGGTAGGTTCTGCGCCTACCATGGTTGTAACGGGTAACGGGGAATCGGGGTTCGATTTCGGAGAGGGAGCCTGAGAAACGGCTACCACATCCAAGGAAGGCAGCAGGCGCGCAAATTACCCACTCCCGGCACGGGGAAGTAGTGACGAAAAATAACGATACGGGACTCATCCGAGGCCTCGTAATCGGAATGAGTACACTCTAAACCCTTTAACAAGGATCAATTTGAGGACAAGTCTGGTGCCAGCAGCCGCGGTAATTCTAGCTCCAATAGCGTATAATAAAGTTGTTGCGGTTGAAAAGCTCGTAGTCGAATCTGTGTCCCACGACTAATTCGATGAAAATTATGCAGATTTTGCAATTTCTTGTAAAAATATGAAATATTTGCAAATATGCCAGACATGCAAAAAATGCATTTCTCATATATTTCGGTCTCGAGTCATAATGCTATAATGAATAAATAAAGAATCAATATTAAAAGGTACTTACGTCTCTTGTGGTGTTATTGTCCACAGTATCAATTTGTGCAGACGTATTTACCATCTGAATTTCCAAACTATGATTGTCTATTTTGGTTTCTCTTAGGTTGATGGGTGTCCTGAAAAATTTGAAGACACACTTAGTGACTGACAAAAGTGCTCAATACAAAATATACAAATTAATTTATATGCATATCTTACTTTTGTAGGGAGTTGTTAATTTCTGCTGTGACTTTGGTGGACAGAATTTTGTGTTTTTCTCCTACTGAACTCGTAGTGGAACTGCAACAAGAACTATTGCTACTTACGCCGACCCTGCCTTTTTCCACGAGTGAGATTAGATCATGGTTAGGTTTTGTCGGATAAAATGGTAAACTAGATGGTTCGACTGGTACTGATATAGGCGAGTGACCTTGCTGAGTCTTGTTGGCTTGTCCCATTTCGGACTCGGAACTAGATTCTCCGCCATCAAATGAGTATGCTTTTCCTGAAACACAACCAATCAAATACAGTACATCATTACCTTAATTTAATAAACAATATTTACAATCTGTAATATAATTACAATAAGTAAATTGTCTGACAATATTTAACAATATAAAATATTATTAAAGAAAAAATGTCTTGGTAGAAAATTGCTCATTGCCAATTTCCTGTGTATTCTTGACACTTAAATAGTGTCACGTATGCCTTAGGGTTTGGTTGGGTTTTGTTTCTAGATTCTATTGGGTTTCTGCGACTTAATTATAGTTAACCTCTTAAAGCATAGTGGGTCATATATGGCACTAACAATACTTGGTTTTAAAGAATAGAAATAAAAATCATCCAAATTGGAAAGAAGGAAATTTGGTAACACCAGATGATATAAGATTTATCGGTTCTACTGACGTGCCACCTGAATTGCAACCAAAGATATAGTTTATCAAGCTATATTCAGTGAAAAAAACACCTTAAAACCTTTGAAACTTTTTGAAAATAAGCTAGAACAGTTCTTAGGAACCTGTATTTATCTGTCAATAGTGCAATTGCCAAACACTAGAAGTTATTGGAACTCCAGCGTGAATCATCGATTGATATCAGACGTTATGTCATGCAATAGATGGGGAGAAATAAAACGTTTTCTACATTTTGCGCACAATAACGATGCTATTGCTGCCGGTAATCCTGGTCATGATAAACTTAAAATCCGACCGCTACTAAACAAACTAAGGAATGAGTTACTCAAAGTTCCGAAAGACGAATTTTTAGCCATAGATGAGTAGATAATTCCAACAAAAGCGCGTTCATCTATAAAACAATATAATCCGCAAAAACCCCACAAATGGGGATATAAGGCGTTTGTTTTTAGTGGTGTTAGCGCATTTTCCTACGATTATGAAACATTTTTTAGGAAGCGAAACTAATGTTGTACCCGATGGTGAATTTAGGGGTACGTTCAAATGTGGTTCTTCGGCTAACACAATCAGTACCAAGACTTATTCCAAGACCAAGACACAAAATATTCTTTGATAATTGTTCAACAGCGTCCCATTGCAAATATATCTAACGAAACAGGTTATGTGACCACTACGAACAGTTAGAATAAACAGAGTTCCAAACAGTAATATGCCAAAAGGGGCTGAATTAAAAAAGAACGACAGAGGTGCCATGGTAGAGAAAGTCGCCACAATTGATGGTACAAAAATCTCTGTTGTTACATGGTATGACAACAGAACGACCGTGAATAGCTGTTCTGATGAGCCCTATTAGGGCGAAATACGTATAAGCAGATACACGGACGCACTATACATGAAATCAAAACTTGACTGTCTTTTTCTTTTTATTCCGATATACTCTGTACGATTACAAGAAACCAATTCGCTAAAAATTTTTGCTTAGTTGAGGAGATATGTCGTGGAATGCAAATTTTAGATTCCCCATGTCTCTAATAACATCTTTATCAACGTCTGTTTTGCCTTGAAATTCTTGGAAGGCCCAGATTAAAGCAAAAATCTGAATTTGGTTTCGAAAATTAGTTTACGGATTTTAATATCAGATGTCGCTATTTGCGTCTATACGAAGCCATGTTAGAGTTGCTTCCTAAGACAGAAAAGATTTGTTTTCACGTTCAGAACGACCGTGAATAGCTGTTCTGACGAACCCTATTAGGGCGAAATACGTATAAGCAGATACACGGACACACTACACGTGACATCAAATCTTGACTGTATTTTTTCTTTTTAAATTAGTAAACGTTTTATCAACATATGCTGGGAGTATGCCAACAGTTGAATTGAAACGGTTTTCGAAAAAGGATAAGACACATATAATAGTTCCATACCCAAAAATTGTAACTCCTGGATTAAATGTTGGGATATTATAGGATCAAACGCAGATTCAAAAAATGGTACATGCATTCCAAAAGAAACCCGAATGAGAGAAGAAAAGAAAATATTCCTGAAAGAAACAGGGGTGAGAATTCGAAAGTTCGAGCAATGGAAGAGATCCGACACAGGAAAAATGGATATCACCCTGATATAAACAGGCGAGGTAATGGTTATTCGGGCAATAGAAGAGATTCGAATAGCGGAAGGCGAGAATATTCTCAAGAAAATAATGGGTACAGAAATAGAAACATACAGCATCGAAGACAGAACTCAGTAAGCTGTGCAAAACCTTACTTGTCACAAAAATCTTGCTCATAAAGAATTCTAAAGGAGGCTCTCGCTTAATGAGAGAACTGATATACCAAGTTTTCTAATGCTTTGAACGCAAAGAAAACCAATCTAAGCTAGAACCTCAGGAATCGTAGGAGAAAAAATATCGAACTGGAGCATAAAGGTAATTATTTAAAGACATTTTCAGAGTAACTTTGAAATAGAAACGGAAGCTTTGGTAGGCACTACCGAAAATAACCAAAGACTTACTAGAACAGGAAATACAATTAGAAGGATACAACGAAAGAAACGTCTTGTTAGCAGACGCGCGATACCAAAAGGTAGGGAAGGTATTATTAGGAATAAAGGAATACAGTAACATATGGATGGATGGCATGCACCGAATAAGTAACGGGCTATCTATTCAAAACACAAAGTTAGGATGGATTAGTGTCAGGAATTGCACAAGAAAAAAATCAAGGAACTTTGAAGTGTGTAGTATGATATCCAGACAGGAAATGGACACACAAATAAAGATATTCTGGAAACTGAAGGAAGTAGAGCAAGAAAGCAAACTTTCAGCAGAAGAGCACAAAAGTGAAGAATACTATCGTGAGTCAGTTAAAAGAGATAATGAAGCAAAAGTACCAATTAGAGATGATATAGAAAAATTAGGAGAAACGAAGCAATAGTCATTATCATGTCTATTGTGAATTAGTGTCAATTAAACAGTCATTTTGTGTTTGATGGTTTTACTTACAACCAGAACTTCAATTCGGTCCTGGTCAACTATCCTATACAAAGCTAAAGATTGAATGATCTGGTTATAGATTTCAATTGATAGAATCAAGTGTTTTTGTATAAAAATTCGTTATTCTGTACTCACTTTTATTATTATTTATTGAAAATAAAAAAGGTATAACCTTTTTACTATTTCTTTAACATACTTCATTTCTGCTTTAACATACTTTAAATTAACATACTTAACATACTTAAAAATAGTGACTTACCTAGTTTGGTTTTAGGAGAAGCATGTGAAATAAAATTAGGCACTGAAGGTGTAGGAATCGGTCGGGTAGAGATTGGGGGGCATGCTTCCTCGCAGCAAGCCATACCCCGAATGGGTGTCCACCATATTAATCCTTTGTTTCTTACGTACAGAACAAATACCAGTAAGATGGCCCCCAGACCAGCCATTGCTCCCAACATTGTACCCCCATCTAAAATACGATATATTTCATGTATTACTTCAATATTGTTACACAAAGGTTTTCAATGAATGTTTTTTCTAAAATGGTTTTTTAACCCTCCTGTACTAACCTGGTTGTAAATTACACCCTTACTACTATAATTGCTTCATTGGAAGCCGAGAAAATATATTTTTTACGTATACCGACTTTGAACTTTGAAATTCAATTTGTTTCAACTTTTTTTTTCGTATTTTTTACGCGCAATACCAATGGTTTTTATTATTATAATCTATCTCTATAAAGGGCTACGATGACAAGTCACACCGTTTGTCAAATAAACTAACGACGCCATCTAGGAAAGAAATCTGAACTATCATATTTCAATCATAATTTGTTCTTGAAACAATACGTTTAATTATTAATAATACTAAAAAATACTAATACCATATTAATTAATTTTTAGTTTACGGATTTAATATCAGACATCGCTATTTGCATTCATACGAAGCCATGTTAGAGTTGCTTCCTAAGATAGAAGAGATTTATACACAGAAGGATACACAGACGCACTATACATTGAAATCAAATCTTAACTGTCTTTTCCTTCCAATTACATATGAATATAATTAATAAGTAATATTATTAATATTTTTAAGATACAAAAGACAAAGATTTCAAAACATGCCAAATTCAGTTTTTATATTGGTGGAGATACGTTGTAACGTATCAAATTACAGGGATATGCCAAAGACCTATGCGTGAATTAAAAGAAATGACCAGAGACAGATTAAGTTAAGACACAACGAAAAAACAATTAATAAAATGTTAAATCAAAAACTACACAAGAGAGCCCTGAAATTAGTATTTCCACCACCTGAGAAAAAACTCCGTACCTTCTGCTCGATTATATATACAGGCAAAATATCAACAAAAATAGCCAAACACATAAAAAAGAAAGGAATAACAACAGCATTCAGAACAAATAACAACTTAGGCAAATATATTAAAAACAACAAGAGCCAATATAAAAAGCACTTCACAGTGATGTATACAAACTTAAATGTGGCAACAGCCCAAAAACTTACATCGGTCAAACTGGTAGAAAATTTTAATAAACGAATAGCAGAACATAAAAGGGCTTTCAATAATAGAAAAATAAATTTTACATACGCATTTCACCTTCTAGATCTTATAATCATTCTTTTAATGACGAATTTAAATTTCTTCACATTCAAAATAAAGGCCTTAAGCTATCTTTATTAGAATCTATGGAAATTACCAAATTAAAAAACACAGATATAATAATTCTGAATGATCAACTTCCAGTTCTCCCCTCCTATTTCATTAAAGACTATAACGTGTAAACGCATGCCAAAAATAGATCACTTGAGAAAGGCAATCTGCCGAAACAACTGTAGTGTTAACATTTTATAATAAATGTTGGAGAAAACAAAGTTTTCAGTGTTTTATTTTAACTAAATATTGCTGTTTAGTGTAGGTTAGAGACATTAGTTTCATGTTAGAATCAGATATGTAACAGAACTTTTTATGTATGTAAGAGAAGATTTAGGTACTATTTCAACAAGTGGGAGTGGCTGTAAGGTTGAAAAGATTCAATCGTTCTAATCTACAGCACCATTCTACAAATACAACCTAGCGAGAGTAAATTGAGACAATTTTGAAGATGAATTGACAAGTGAAGATGAGTTACTGACTTTTTTGAAGTTGAAGATTCAACTTCAGATTCATTAAATCCATATCTATTTGTTTCTTTTGTTCTAAACTAATATTTTTATTAATAAAAACATCCATCACCTTTTGACGCTTGGGTGGCGGTGGCAGTATGTCAGTACTTGTAGGAGAAGTAGTCGAAACGGACAGAAATGCGTCAGGAGAAGTTTCAATCCTTGCAATATTCAGAAAGTGGACCATAAAAGCTGCATCTTCTACAAATGTGCATTTTTTGAAAATAAAATTATTATTCTTATACTAGATCAATAATTTTGACTAAGAAAAAGAATTCTTAATTGACTATTTACAATAAATAAATCATTTGACGAACTATCGATAAAGATTTGAAATCAAAAATGCAGATCAATCGTAAATCGAAACTCATTCATTAATCAGAATACCTAGTTATAAAAAACAAAAGAAAAAGTTAAGAAGCTGGGTACTTCTATAAAAAAAGAAAAGAAGATTGTACTCTTGAAAATCAACCAGTACAAGAAAAAGAAACTGAGAAAGATGACTTAAGTCCATGGTGTATTTTTGATGAATTAATTGGACATGACTCATCTAAATATACACCTGTATCGAGAGATATAAAAGAAATCGGCATGTATGTGTCTGATGATATATTACCCACAAAAAATTTCGAACGGAGATTGGAACTGTCCATTACAGTGGTGGAAAAACCATCGCCATAAGGTATATCTACCATATAGTATTGTAATAAAATCTGTTCCTTGTGAACACATGTTCAAAATTTGGTTTAATTTTAAATAAAAGAAGAACATGGTTAACAAGAAAAGTGGAAAAATTTGTAAATGTTTTTAAATGTCAATTTAGACGATTTGCGATTTAATAATGTGTAATGTAAATGTAATTTTACTATTTGTATTGTTTAATTTATTTTTCAAGTTATAATAAATATATCTTTCGTTAGTTTCTTTCACTTCAATACTAATAATAGGCAATATGTTTGTATGTGTACTCGCTTATTTCAAACTACTGGTAAACAATCAACTAGTTACAGTTTACGAAAAACTGTTCCAATAAAAATGTCAACGACCCACCTCTAGTTTCTTAGCTATATTAGGATCGGAACCAGAGATATGTAAAATATCTCTGATCGGAACTAATCGTCTTACTAATGGGCAATGGGCGTCAATGAGAAATATAGAGGGGATGCCAAGAATAAAAATAATTGTTATCTTTGTCTATTCGCTGAAAATATGATTTTATATCTGTGTTAGATATCCTGTTAAATTTTACCATACCGACCATAAACTTTTAACTACACTGTATATATACTTTTTCAATTTTAGTATAAAAGAATTTGTAGTTTATTAAAAATAATTAGTTCTGTTAGGCTACATTTGTTACCTAACTATCCCTGTAGTTATTAGTAGGATTAATGAGAATTTATTTTACACTATTTGCCGTAGGTTTTAAAACCATTGATAATCGAGTGGACTTGACATTATCTGACTAACATAAACCCAGTGTTGCCAACGCAAAACTAGAAATTATCGAATGTTGGGAGCAAAATATCCGAAATTATCCGAATGTTAGAAACAATTATCCGAAATTATCCGAATTCATAAAAATCGAAAAAGAAGATAATTAAAATGGGAATACTTGACATTGAAGTTGACAGTGAACATTGACAGATGGACAATTTGGATATGACAAATGATGTCAAGAAAACAGTTTAGTTGATAGAAATATATTGTATTTAAATTTAAAAAAAACAAATAATACATAAATAAGCAAATTAACAAATTATTAACTCTTTAACCTATATTTAAAATACTTATTGTTTACCTACATATCGGCAAATGTATAGAGAAAGTGCCACAGGGAATTACATGACTACTTCGACCTTTTAGGACTTGGATTGAAATAATTTTTGTTTTGTCAATTTCAAGATCCCTGGATTTTTGTACAGTTAAACAGTCAACCAAAACTGATACTATTTATCAAACAGAGGGCGCTGAAATAATCATAAGTTCCATCATCTTGGATTATATATAAGAATTAGAATTTGGAGTTCTATGTACATTCGCAAATTTAGCTATGTAAGCTTATAAAAATTTAAATTATATTTAAAAATAAAAAGTCGATAGACCCATGAATTATCCGAAATTATCCAAAAATTGTTCAATCGAAAATTATCAATGGTCACGAAATTATCGAGAAAAAATCGGATATTATCCTGACATGGCAAACACAGCATAAACCACCTTGCTGGCATGCGACTCCGTCTTCCCCAGACATTCGCCCACGCAAAAGTGAATTCTTCCGTTCCCCACCACAAAAATTTTATGGATCGATTCGTTTCCTCTCTCTTTTCCTCTCAATGTAAAATACCCAAACATTTCATTGAAAACCTATAAGGCGTAAAAATCACACTGGGGTTAAGAAAAAGAGACAAAACGATAGCAAAAAACATGTGATTCTTTTCTCGGAATTAATCTTGTTATATTCATTTATCCAATAAATCTTGAATTATAGTATACAGGAATGACAGTCTTTAGGAATTACGGAGGAAATCGTAAAAAATGTAATTAATCTTCGATTATAAAACAAGTATTTATAAAACATGTATCTTGCAGAAGAGAAAACAGAATAGAACAAATTATTGATATAGATCTAAAAGTTTGAAGTGAAAGACTTTAGACAGAATAATATCCAAATACTAAATAGTACTATTATAATAAGTAGATCAAAAATATACTTTAAAATACTATTAAAATAAAATATCGCTTTCAAAGCATTCCAAACAAAATAGAAGAAGGGAAATATAAGACACAAATAGACTTATTGTATATCTTCCATTGATTAAATCCACAATTATGAAAGCATGTACACTACCCCTTCATCGGACTGTCCAGGGTCTGTTTTGACCTCAAATCACAATTTTTGGCTTTTACTTTATAGATCTTTTTTTTTCTATTTTTAATCGGCAATCTTTTCTCTAACCGTAGTTTATAATTATATGTTATGATAATAATAATAATAATAATTTATTCATTTCTATTCTATTCTATTCATTTCTAACCAAGCATTAGCAAAAAACGGAATCTCTTTACTACTTTCTTTGACTACAAGCGTTTGATTCAGTGCCGCATGAATGACTTATACATACAGGGTAATTGATTAGTGTGAGGAAGCTCAATAGATCTGTTATAGTAAAAATTACAAAAAAAGTTATTAACAAAAATTGTAGGCAGCTTTAAACTCCATATTTTAAAATTAGTTACAATCCTACAGGGTGTTCCATAAGATGGTGGCAGACCAAACTTATGTTTTTTTAAATGAAACACCCTGTATCTTATTTTAAATTTAAAATCTGCTTCACTTCCACATTACAACAATGTAAAGTTTTATTATGTTACACCGGGTATTTAAAAAATTATAACCAATATTACCTGAAAATCGTATCAAGTTTAACTCTCTGTATAATTAAAAAGGATTATAGGAACATTGATCTATTGCAACCATAGTTTTTTAATAATTGTTAAAAACTATAAAACATATTCATTTTCATAATATTCGTTAAATCAAATACAGGGTAAGTCAAAA